ATTACTTATTGTGTTCTCCATTATTTCACCTACGACAAAATTGAACAGGAATGGCGAAAGAGGGCACCCTTGACGAACACCGCTCCTGGTTTCGGACGATTTAGTTAGCCTACCGTAGACCCTTACGCAACCAGAAATATGNTACCACCGGCTTGAAAACAAGCATGGTGCCAACGCAACAACAATGACAGTGAAAGGGGATAGGTGGATTAAGATACAGAACATGGTGAAAAGTGGGTGAGACAGTTAAACATGGAAAATACAAGATAACAGAATGCAGGTACAGTGACCGCAATAGGTTCACATAAGAAGGGTACAAACATTGGAAATGCATTAAACCAGAAAAACAACGGTTCTAGAGCAGATTTGGTCAGGTGATGATTAGGTTTGCGCGGAACGCATCCTATTCACTGCACATATTTCCACTGTACCAGTGTGCTTCGTTCGAAAGTTAATCGCGCTGTTTGACATTCAGAATGCTTCTCAGGTAGTGGTTCAGCACCTTTAATCATTACCATTTTTCAACTATACATAATTATTAATAAGCTAATTAAGACATTAGTGAAGTTCTTCCAGTGACAAGCGACACAACATTACTGCTTCATAAAAAATTCAACATGTCCAGAAAAACAGATAGAAAAGCTGTTTAAGCCTCATTTGAATAGATTTGTTCCGAAGATATTGCATATTTTCTGAATTCCGTGGTTTCGTCTTATTTTTTAATAAAACAACCAAGAACCTTGTATGCTTCACCTGATCAATCCCATTTCTTATCCAACAAGTGTGAACGTGTAAGAAGGATAAGGACGGGGCCGATTTTTAGAGAAAACAGCAAAACCCTAAGGTCAACGTATAGAGTACACAGTACAACTGTGCAAACACTAGTTCAAGCATTCTGGACCGATTAAAAGTGACAGCAAGATCGCCAATGCCGTCGGTTTGCTGTCGTGACCTTCAGTGTCTCCAACCATCCCATTATGGAGTCTTTCTGACCCCAACCCGGAGGACGAGAAGCATCTACTCTAAATAATTGCTGTACATTTCTTTATGCTTCATCTCCATTTCACCTGCTGGCCTCCACGTGGCTTTCGCCAGTCTGTAAAAGCCACTGCAAATAAAGCGCGCTGCGGTAGATGACCGTTGGACACACGCAAAACGTGCCAAAACCAAAGGAGCCTATTGACCTGAACTTGATGCGATAGCTAGTTGTTGTTTGATGGACTCCCAAACACCCGAGGACTTTCTAATCCGCTCACTCCATCCCACTTGGGCCAGACTGCGTAAGCATCGATTGTCGAAAACCACTAGGCGACGGATTTCTTCTACCCGCAATTTTAAGGTCTTACAAGCCTAAAACCGTACAGAGGCGCAGTATATGCGACTTTTCGACTTTAGTGAAACACCACGTCGTCGCCACAGATGTTTTAATCCTGTGTACACTGCTTGAGCCTTGGAAATGCGGGCGCAACAGCTGAAGCTGTGTATCATAATATCAAGCATTGCTTTTAGTTCACCCAACTATTTGATTTTCAAACAAAAATTATAAGACAAAACAGTTTAAACATGATATGATTCCTTTGAAATAACTTACTTCTACTGCGCTCGGGAGTCCTTCAGAACTGATACGTTTAGGTGCCTGAGCAGGCGGCCCACCCATTGGTCCATTTAGGAAAGGAGGTTGAGGTGCTTGGGGATATTGTCTGCCTTGTGCTGAAGGATCTACGGAATTCGGTGGGGGTGGTGGATAATGTNGTGTGCCGTGATATCCATCTTGCTGCATTACGCTTTGAGGTGGAGGGGCCATGCTCCCAGCAGAATATCCACCTGAAGTGGCAGGCATAGGTGGCATCAGAGGTGCGGTTGGTGGCATAGGAGGAACTTTAGGACCAGACATATGTGAGCTAGGTGCATATTGAGGGTGCATAGTCTGACCGGAAACCGATGAAGAGTACGGTTGTGGTGGGAACGGAGGCATTGGTGCTTGGTGCGTCCCTTGAACAGAAGTTTGGTAATTTCCATGCGACTGGCCTGAGACATGCGAAGGTTGCTGCACATTTTGTTGCGATGGATGTTGAAAGGGCTGATTTATAGACATACTCGCGAACTTCTCCACTGGCGGTTGGGATCCGGGGGGCATATGTGAACTGAACACTCATCAAGGGAAAAAATATACTTACAACTGATTTTGTGGTGAGAAACTGGAGTTTTCTACTGAATTACTCATTTGAGAATATGCTAAAAAAATTGTAAACCAAATTCACAACGACTTACCATTACCCGGTTGATTGAAACTCGGCGGCGCCATTTGCTGATGGCCATAAGAATGTTCATGGGTCTGTGGCGGTGGCTGTGGTGGGAACATTTCTGCTTTTTGCTGAATAAAAGCACCGTGATATTATCAAATTCCACGTGTAAATATTGAAAACTACGTCCGTCCGTGACGTATAACCATTTCAAAACACGATGCAACCTCCAAGGCTAACGCGTTGAGCGTGTTAAACAAACCGTTGTGTAAGTTCAGATCAAATCAGATCAGATTTCAGGACTTGCTGCTTGAGACAACGAGAGTCCACTTTCTTGCTCGAGTGGGCGTGAATGTCCTCCGTGCTTCAACCGTCCAGTATTCCAGAACAGGACAGGACAAGACCAATCCAATCCAATCTTCCATGACGTAATGGCCTCGGCCTTATGGTTGTCCTGATTATGGCCCGATCTCGTCGGTAGACCGATCGAGCTGTATGTTTGTCCGGCTTCCAGCACGGTTGATAATTCCGCGACCATCCGAAGATGCGGAATTCAGTTCAGTTCAGTTCAGTTTGCACAGAACAGAAAATGGCCACGGCCAATCGAGCGTCCAGAATTCCTTCGGTGG